TAAAATAGAAAAAGAGATTTCAACCAAAAAAAATAAAAAAAAAAAAAAAAAGCCTAGAAGAGTGGTTAGGTATGATACTGGGGACCAGGACCAGGGGGAGGGCAGGAAACTAATATTCTAACATTTACTGAGTAGCATGTGTATGCAGGTTTGCTGAGTATCTAATATTAAGACTTTTATACACTTCACTTATTTCCTAACAAAAATCCTTTCAGGGAAGATTAGCCATACTTCATAAATTAAAAAAAAAAAAAAAAGAGTGATTCATTGAAGTTAAGTAGTTGTTCTCAGTAGTACATATCTATTCATTCACTCCTTTTCAGGGAACTGGATGGGTATAACAAATTATCTATTTAGAACATGTATGTGCATGCATTTATACAAATGTACACTATGTACTGCCTATGTTCTTTTTAGAACCCTAGTTTTTATTAATAGAAGCAACACTTCAATATCTGTAATTCAGTATGCCTAATGTTTAGAACATTGTAATTGTCGTATCAGAACACCATCCAGTAAGTGTTTAATGAAATAAACTGGGCGTAGCTCTTGTACTCTGGCATATATCCTTAACTAGAGATGGGAATGCAAAGCTAAAGAATCCAAGTTCTGAAAATGAATGAAACTCTTAGCCTTCCACTATGCTGCTTATTGGCAACTTTTAGACCAACAATTAAAATTATTAAATATAATTGAGAATGCAGGAAGCAGGTGTAACACAGATAACATTCAGATAAACAAATGTACATTGACAGAAACAGCTTTCATGGAGGAGCTGTGTGAAAGGCAAGTTACCTCAAACGTCTGTCCTTCTAAATCCTTTGCATCACACCAGTTTCCCCATGGGTCCCGGACTCTCCGCCTCCTAGTGCGCTGTGGCGAGAATAAAAGCAACAGGAGAAGAAATCACGGTCTATTCATATCCAAAACAAAAGCCACAATTACCTAAAAAGTATGAATCTCTGTAAGTATTGTGATCTGACTGTCAACCGCTCACTAAGCCTCGCTAATTCAGTCAACACTCTGCACAGCAATGCACCACTTCCCGGCCAGTTCAAGGTGAGAACGCTGACATAGGTGAGCAGGTGTGGGCCATGGAGGCACAAGTGCTGCTGTTTATCTGCCATTTTACTTGCATTTCTTCAATTTTCATTTCTAGTCACCACATAGGAGCTATGACACTCAAGACAAAAATATTTTTAAGAAGTACTTTAACCACCAAAAAAATGGTTTTTCTCTTAAGCACACGTGGTAAAAGATATTGTAAACTAGAAGCAAAATTACATCTTAGCTTTAGAAAAGTTTACCAATTTAACACAAACACAGAAAAATTAAAAAAATTTGTTGAATATAGTATTAATATCCAGTTCTAAAAATTTCAATATTGAGGCCTTTAAAATGGACCAGACTGCTAAAGGGCAGTGTGTGGCCTGGTACCATATCCAGCTACACAATAAATCTAGGCACAAATGGTTCACAAACTAAATCCTGACAAAAACAGCCATTCTATCATTTTTTTTCCCATTTATTTCAGTTAATATCAATTTTAGGTATATACAAAACTAATAAGATCATACTATGATTGTTTTATAAAAGACTCACTGATTCTAAAAATTAAAAACAAAGACTACTCCAAAACGTTAAGAATTAAGGTAAGAATTTTTAATGACACAAAAATGAAAGAAAACCAAATTTTACTGTTTAAAAAAGATTTATAATTCAAAACCACGCAGCACAAGACCATTTTAGCAAAATATATAGCTCTACATAAAATTTGGTAGTGAATTTTGAAGGTTTTATAGCTTGTTTTGCCTCATAAACCCACATGAAATTGAAGAGAAGACAGAAAAGCAAATGGTGAAGTACAAGAGAAAAGACATTCATTCAGTAAGGGGCACTTAAAGGGAAGCAAGCATTCCTTCCTATATGGGGAAGAGCAATGTGGAGAAAGACAGCTGCTTACCATAGACTGCAGGTGCTGGGCAAGCTGGTATGCTTCTACAGCATCTCTTCTGTCTCTGACTCGAACTTTATCAACTGGTTGTGGCCTATTATACACAGCCTGTTCTATTGGAATTCAAGGAAGATAAAACAATCTATTATTGTATGAAAGTCACTGGTTAAATAGAAAGACACATCTATATAAACTATAGATGAGCTCTTAGGATGCTTACTCCACAATCCTATATATGACACGCTACTCAGTAGTTCTCAAGTAATGCTATTATTATAAAGACAATAAAATGGGATTATTTAGGAAGCAAGAAATTTGTTAATTTCTTACTAAACAAGTACTGAATCTACTCTGCTAACTCTGGTAGCTTAATTCAGAAAACATGACTTCACTTTCTATTAGTGGCAGATGAGGGAGCTAAATGCTGTCATTATCCTGAAACGCTACTCTCAACATATGGAATACAAGGCTTTGGGCAAACCAAGCCACTTATGTGAAGGACAGACCCAAGACGGACTATAAATTCTCTCTATATAAAATGAGATCATGTGTCAGGAAAGTTTTCTGGTTAATCATCTCACTTATATATACCAAAAAAAGCATACTGCTCTGAAACAATGGGTTATAAGGTTCTACCTATTACTATGCAAGAGCTTTCTTCAAAAAGTTGGTGTTAATTCAATAGGCAGAATATACTTTGAAATGTATATCCTCATCCATTTTAAATTTGGAAAAAACTAAGTGAAAGAAACGTACATTAAAATATTTTGGTGTTTCTGTAACACATACATATAGAAACCCATAAATTACATCCTTTATTTAATCATTGCTAGACAGGATTTCTAGCACAAATACAGAACAGGTTAAATAACCCTTTTCTGAAATTCTTGGACCAGAAATACTTTAGATTTAGGATTTACTTGGATTTTGGAATATTTGTATAGAAACATCCCCAATATCTGAAAATTTTTAAGCGCATGTTGGCCTCAACTGTTTTGTTTTTTTGAGACAAGGTCTCATCACTATGTAGTTCAGGATGGCCCTAAACTCAATGTGTTTGTAAATTACGTGGGATACTACTGGACTTTCAATAAAATTATTCTATTATCAGAGAAAGAAATATATTCTTAATTTATTTCTATTGCTTTAATCAAACATTTTCCCACTGAAAGTATATTACTTCAATTCTCATTGCAAGTCAAAGGAAAACAGTTTCATCAGCAGAAATCTGTTTTACAGCAAAAATCTTAACACATCTGTAACGTTACAGTATCTCGTAAATCTACTTGAATTCTAATCATCACAGAAGTTAACTGTAAAAATAATAAATGGTGAGTAAAAAAATGATAGGCTTTTGTTTTTACCACATCCAAAATTGATTGCTCCTATCAACTCCAGGTATGTATGAATCCGTCCGATGCAATTAACATCCCCACAGTTCTTCAGGCCAGGGCGTACTGAGGTCTTATTTAAGTATTTTGGTTTGCATATCTTCCTAATAAAGAGACAGAAGTACAATTATTTTGGATGAATAAAACCATGAAAAAAGACTTCTTCTAATTTCTGAAATATCTTAACATTTTATTCACTTGCAATGGGTAAATATGTGGTAAATACAACATGATATTCAAGTATTTTGTTTCAGAAATAAAAAAATCTTTAAAACACACATAACTTATAAGTACCTGCACGGTGTACTTTTTTTTTTTTTTGGTACCAGGAATTGGACTCGGGACCTTGCACTTGCAAGGCAGGTGGCAGAACCACTGAGCTAAATCCCTGGTCCCTCACAGTATAATTTTTACAAGTATTACTCTTTTCCCAATATTAAACTCATTAGATTCCAGTGTTCCCTGGACCCTGAAATTAGTTCCAGCATTCAAATTTCAACTGAGTCTAGGCAACTTACTGACTTCACAAGACCCTGCCTCAAAAGACAAAATTCAAAAAAGGGATGAGGATATAGCTCAGTGCAGAGGCCCTGGGTTCAACTCCCAGTACAGGGAAAAGGGCGGGGGGGAGCTTATTTATGTATAGATTCAAATTCAAGTCCAGAAATCCGGATCTTTGACTAAAAAGGGCACTGTCGACAACAGAAGCAACGTATTTACAAGCACACACCAAGTTCTGGAGATCAAGCCTAAGTCTTGATGTATGCTAGGCAAGTATTCTACAACTAAGCTATAACTTCAGCTACTAGATTTATTAATTTCTACTGTAATTCTTAGATTTACTTACTCTAGCTTTGCCAGCAATGTCCTTTATTAGCTATTTTACAAATGTTTAAAAGCTTTGTTAGAAAATGTAAGTGATACAATCAACAAGCATATATTTATCAAATTAATAAAACCAAGGTAGTTTATAAATCATAAAATTCTGAGGACAGTTTCTCAACTATAATATACAACTTTGTTTTATTTGTAAATACAATACTTCAAAAATATTATACAAAAAGAAAATGAGAAAGAACATAATGTTTGAAGGTCATATCAAACTAATAATGTATTTGGATTATCAGTCTGTGTTGCATAAATTATTTCATATCCTTTTTTTGCTGTCATATATATGTACATTTGAAGTTTTTATTTAGTATCTTCATTTCTTGTCATGTATGTTTGCAATCTTTAATTTAAAAAAAAGCTTTGTATTTATTTTTAATCATGATGCCAATAAATATTAAGTGATTGCTTTCAGTGTTAAACAAAAATAGACACTAACTATAAGGGATTCCAAAGGAATCAAGAAACTCCCCCAAACTATGAAAGAAATAAATTCATTTAATAAAACATTTACTGAATATATTTAATGTAACATGCTAGACAGCACAATAGTAAGAGAAAACTTAATAATCTCATTTTAGAAATGAGGAAACAAGAATGCAGTGTGATTACAGCACTCAAGAAAGTGACAGAAACAGGATCTAAGTACAGATACTACAAATTAGGTATTCAGCTATGTCACACAGATTATTTCTTAATCGCTATTTTATTCTATGACTAGTTTTGTTTTCTACACATCAGGCACTGTTCTAGGTTTTAGGGACATAGAGATAAACAATTTAAAGTTCCTGACCTCAGAGACTTTATGCTCCAATGGGGAAGACCATTAATAAATCAGTGAATAATATATACCACATTGTCAGTGAGCAACAGTGCTAAAAAGAAAAAGTAAAAAGGATAAGGGGATAGAATATGATAAACACACACAGACTATATACTAGATAGGGTGTTTAGGGAATGCCTCCCTAAACAGAGACCAAATCTAAAACCTAAGTCCTCTGAAGTTCAGGGAAGGGAAAATCTGCAGTCTAAAAGAGATCCTTTCAGAGAAAAGTTCCTATTTCACTGTATCTTAGAAAGAAAAGGAAACAAACTACACAAAGACAAGAAAACAGCACCCACTCATCTTGCGAACTACGGTAAATGACTTAGAAGACCACTGCCACCTACAGGATCTATACAAAGGTGTCTCTTGGTGATACGTGAAGTTCCTGGGGGTTGCTACAGCAAAATCCAAAAGCCTGAATAGGCCTATTTAAAATACTTTTGGGCATCAGGGTTTTAAAGCAGAATTTAAAATATAATTCTTACCATTGATCCAAAATGTAATTTCTAATTTTAAAATAGCGCTCTGGTGTCTTAGTTTGGCGCCCCTCAAAAAACTCAGGAATTGCTTGTTTTTCTTCTTCTTGAATGATATTTCTATCTATTTCTACTTCTTGTTCTGGTGGCTTAAGCTCTTCTTCCTCATGGCTCTCCTCCACCACTTGGCAAGAAGAATGAAAAAGCACTTCATTAGCACTTGTATCTTTCTGAATTTCACAAGGCTCGGAAGAAGGCCACAGCCTGGCATCATCTATTACTATGTTTCCATCATGCAATTTATTATGTTTCTGATCATTTAACTCAGCTGAGTTTTTGCCATTGCTGCTCTGTTTTCCAGTCCACACTGTGTTTTCTGAGCTTGAATGTGTTTCCATTTCGTCTTGCTTTATATTATGAAGATACTCCCTGGAAGACTGGGAAAAGGGACTTTCCTGGGGTATGCATTCTCCTCGACTGGTTTCATGGATTTTACTATTAGGACTGTCAGATGAGAGACAATTGTTAGGGTTCTTTTGTGGTGTTGGAGCAATCAACTCATCTGACTCATCTGTGATGTCTACCTCTTCATCATCAGATAACTTTTCAATCCTTACAGCATTCAAATTAGGATCAATACAACCCTTTAAACATGATGGCATCTGGGCTGCTGTCCCTTTATCTTCATTTTCAACTTGACAATCACTGCTGCTCTTCTCATTTTGTGTTTCTTTCTCAGGACCCAATTTTACCTTTTCAAAAGTCAGAACAAAACCCCCATGACATTAGACATAAAATATTAAGCTGAGTTCATGTCAACAGCACATTAAATCTGCATTATGCTTTTTAGATATGGGTTTAGAACTGCTTTAAAATATAAAAGATCACCATTTTAAAATCCCACAAACATGTAACTCAGTCATGATCAAATAGTCATGATCTAGAGAGCTACAACTTTTTAAAAACATTATTCTTCTAAAATATGGTCTGGCTCAGATCAATTATAGAAAATGAACCAATAACTTTCATACTAAAGTGTTCTACAAGGTACTAGTTTATTTACAGAGGCATATTTTTCACATCTGATAACTTCATTTCTTGTAATGGTAAAATAATCCTTACTTGGATGAATCAACCTCACATATTCTAAAAACAAAATCTTTTTGGCAGGTTCATTTAATGCAGCTTCAATATTACACACTTTATATTTGAAGCCATGAAACTGTCTTCAGTATCTGCTACCCCATAAATATCTGGTAATATAATAAGACAATAAAAGTCAATTAGTAAATATCACTTGAAATAAAAATCTTTATAACAAAGTTTTTCAAAGATCTTCTAAATGATTACCATCCCAAGATCGCTCTCAGTAAGCAATCATAGATCCTTTACCACACAGAATCCCAGGATAGTGTATATGAAGCTAACTCACTCACTATGCAGAGAACCGGTAGCAGGAGGGAAAAGGAAGTCTGGCTATATGGTTTGAAACAGCCTTTAACAACCTTCCTATATATTTGCAATCTCCTGGTTTTTGTTGTTTTGTTTTTGGTGGAAGGGGGAGCCACACATATAAGTAATCACTCCACCACTGAGAACACCGCCAATCCCCTAGTCTGTTTTTAATCTTAAAAATTAGAATCAGATTTTTGCACTAGATTTCATAAAACACTAATGTCTATAATAATACCAAAATATCCTTTTCCAAGTCTTTTGAGTACAACTGACACTCCCACTGGTCACTCCATGGTCCAGTTTGAGAGGCATGGTGCTACAAATAACTGAGTTTAATACCTGAACCCCAGTAAGCTACTATGAAATTGCTTTTGTTAGCTTGATGATGAGGGAGGAGATGACTGATGTGATATGAACCCATTCCATATGTACCACTTATTCCAAGTTAACTAAATCTTGAACACAAGGTAGAGCAGATTATTTACATGAAAAATATCAAATTTCAGCTAGAACATTTCCAATTTTTATATGATTTGTTCCTAGAGCTATAGGTTTAAAAATTCTAAATATCAAAACTTTACAACTGAATACAGCACAAATTACTTGAAAAGAGAAGGAATTAGACCATAACTACATTTTCTGTATACTATAGTTTAGTAAACTTTTCAGACAATTCATAACAATTATAAAACCTCCATTGCCATTAAACAGATTTCAGGATCACATTACCATTTATGTAAACACCAATGAATGTAAGTATTTAAAAAAGAAAAGATATTTTCCAGAGGAAAACAGTAAGACCTCTAAGGGATACCTTTTCTCTTAGGGATACTATTTTCTTCATAGAACATTTCTGAATAATTAATATTTCTCCATTTAATTGTAAGAAGTTAAATGGGATAATATGGCATCTATTTTTTTTCCTCATTGAGTTTATTGGTACATTTTAGGTATACAGTACAGTTACATTCATTATTGGGATCATGCACTTTTACATGACAGGTCTTGGTAAAAAGCATCACAGACATTGTAGCAATTATGTTGATGATGTCTTTTTTTTTTTTTTCTTTCTTGTACTGGGGATCAAACTTAGGTCCTTTCGCTCGCGAGGCAGGGAGGGGAACCACTGAGCTAAATCCCCGGCCTGGCATCTATTTAATAGCAACACTGAAAACAGAAGATATGCTATATTAAAAATAAACATCTATATAGTTTTACAATATGAAATATTTTCTCCTATATAACAGTAAGATTTTATTTAATGCCTCCATTAAATAAGTACTTCTGCTTACTCATTTTTCAAAATTCTAAACAATGTCATTATTTACTAGGTATTTGTATCCTGTTTACCTTATTTTTAAAGTACTGTCTGGCATAACTCCTCACTTGTAAAACAGTGCGACTTCCAATGAGCTTTGCAATTTTGGTCCACCTTCGACCAAATTTAGTCTGTGATTAAAGTTAAAAAAAAAAAACAAAACCTTTTGATTAGCTTTAATTACTGTTTTAAAAGCAAATGTCACATTAAAAACACACTGAAAGAAAAATTCCTTTAAAAATTATTTTTATATCTAAGATCCATCAGTTCTGTTACCTAATTATATGAATTCCTATTGCACATTATGATGTTCTATATCTAAAATATATATTTTAAAGAAATATGTGCCCAAGAGGGATGCAAGTTACATTTTCCATTTATAGGATCAAGTGAATCTATTTTGCACAAATTATAAGTTGTTTTTGCGCCCAGATTCTATATTTCACAATATCCAGTGTCTCCAGAGTTTTCTTCTATGCAGATATTAGTCAAATGACTACCTCCTTTCGTTTCCCTTTTTTTTTTTTTTGGGAGGGAGTGTGTCTTTCAAACAAGGTCTGAGTCACTCAGTTGCCCAATCTGTTTGAACTTTCCATCTTCCTATCTTAGCCTCTCAGGGTGCTGGGATTACAGGCACCATCATGCCTGGCTCATATGGGCAATTTCTTAAAATTCAAAGTATTTCTGGGGAAACTAATAGTATAAATTATTTAAGATTAACAAGCAGGTGAGATTACCTTAGTGAAGAATAAGTTCTACTTATAATAATGGTAGTTTAGAACACTTTTGGAGAAAAGAGAGTACTGGATAAAGTAATTATTTGGGAGAGTAGGGGCTTGTATACTAAAAAAGTGGGATGAAACACCAAAAGACGGGCAAAGAAAACATGTGACAATTTCAAAATGAAAAAGGACAGACCTATGTGAAGAAAAGAGAGAATCGTCCTTCACCATTCAGAACCACATAGTTCCTTTCTCCCAAGCCCAAAAGAATTCAGTCTGTAAGCAAACTGCATCAATGGGTTGAAAAGTTGGAGAAACAACCAGTAATTCCATGTTTTTTGTGCAGAAAAACATTCTAATTTTAAAAATGTCTTAAAATAGATTTCCATACATCTCTAACAACTACACATTTGCTTATATAGACACAAAGTAACTCTGGAAGGATATGACACCAATTACCTCAGAAGTGAGAAAAGTTAACAACACCTTATAACTTTAGATAGCTTTTGATTCTGAACATGCAAATGCAGGACCCATAATTATTGCCAATGCCAGTAATAATAACCAAAACATGAACCTTAAAGTTCACAAGCCACTTGCATATGTTTGTATATACATACATATATATATATAGTATCTGGTCTCTGACAAGGGTAAAACATCAAAAGTTGTCAGCAGAGGTAAATAAATAGTCAACTAAAGTTAGGTTATCATGCAATAGATGGAAATACCAATATAAAAAAAAATCACCAGTACAGAAAAACATCCTTAAAGATAAAAACCTCAAGTTTATATATTTACATAAAAACATCAGTATATGCAGGTAACATGATGTAACAAGAAAATATAAACATTTCATTATCCGTAGAAATGTTTAAAGATATTCTGATTTGTATTTACACAGCTTAAGTATTATACAAATATTGTAAATATACAAATACAGCTGGTTTCCAATTTAATTATTACAATACTTACTGAATACTTTAAAAGAAAATGTATAATGAACCCTTGAAAGCTTAAAAAATTCCTGAAAATTGTATTAAAGATTTCTTCATATTGAGTATTTTCAGAATTAGAACCAGTACACATATTTTTCCATCATATAACTTAAGTACATTTAAGCATGTAAGAGATCTCAGTGGAATACTCATGTAACAGTAATGTTTCTGGTCTTCAAATATATGCACTGAAAAGTCTGGGCTGTGTACACAATAGCAAATAATTAAAACAACAACAACTCAGCTGATCACCTATTTTCAAACATACAAGGTTTTTTTTTTTTTTTTTGGGCTTTGAGAAAAACATCAGATAAATATTTTGCCTTTTCATCTAGGCAATTGGTGATTTCTTGGATTTAATCAATACCCAAAATATTGATCCAAATCTATTTTAGTACCTTAGATCTAAGAAATTATTTTGCATTACACTATAAATATTACTCTATAAAAAAACTAGTTATTTTAATTATAACTTAAAACTCTGGTTGCTACAAGTTAACCTTATAACTTTATCAGTATTTGCTTCTAGAATCATTTTACTATAAATTAAAAATCGCTCTATTTACCAGCCCTTGTTCAAACAGCTCTTTTTCTTCTATCGTCCACTTTACTGAGTAACTGGCTGGTTTTGTAGGAGATTGTACCCTAAGGGGGAAAAAGAGGAATTGCAAAAAATTTTTCTGAAACGGAACATTCTATATTTATGCAGCTAAAGGTTACAGATAACCATGGGCTAAATTCAATACTTTTGAGTCTAAGAATTAAAAAAAAAAAAAATTGCTGCAGCCTCTATCTGGGAGGAGAAGTTTACCGTTAGGTATCCCTATTCAGGATGACAGAGCCCCAAAACACAAAATCATTGGGTCTGAGTGAGAGTAACACTAAAAGACAGCCAAGGAAGCCAGTATGATAAACAAATACGTAGCTCCACTTCTACTGAAGACAAAGCAGCAGTTGTTAACACATTCCCAAATCCTCAAAGGCATGTAAGAGTTTCAAATAATTCCAGATATATCTCTTTGGCTCTCATGTGTAAATCCATGTACATATTCAGCAAGAAAAGTAACAAAGCTATGGCACTAACTTACTGTTTTTAAAATTCAGTGTCTTGAGAAATATACCACACTGATGAAGCTCACTAATTTAATTAAGCCAAGTATCTTTCCATTAATCTACTTCATCACTGTTTAAATACAAAACCAAAGGCTGTGCACTGCTCAAACTGCAAATACGTAAGTTTACTCTTCAGCATGCAAGTTTGAAAACACTAAATAATGGCAATGTTTTACCAATCATCAGGAAAGGCAGACACTCTTCATTTAACGACCAAGTTCCAGACACAGAACGAGGATGTTAAATAAATTGGTCAGTTAATGAAGAATTGTATATAGTACGTACACTGCAATAATCAAAGAAACAGTCAAAGGAAACTCCCAAGTAGATGACTTTGCTTTTATTTGTATAACTGTTACATGCAGTACTATAATGTATAAAAGGAACATAAAACTATAGTACTACATAATCAGCAAAAACTGCAGTGCTGTATAAACAAGGTGCACTGTATAAAAAGATACTGAGGCCCCCAAACAAGATGTACAGAACTCTACAAAAAGAAAAGACTGGTTGTAAGACCAATGGGTAGGTTTTAAGTCCAAATAACAAGCTTCAGTCGCAAGTCCAAACAATTGTTAAATAGGTAGGTCATTAAATGAAGACTATACATAGTTAATTTGTCTAAATAATTCTTGAAAGCCAAATTCAAATTACAATTTTGTTCAAAATAATTTAAAATTAGCTGACAGCAAAAATCAAGTCAACTCATACTATATTAGATAAAAATTTCCCCCAAATCTATAGGAAACCATTTTTTCCATAATGTTGTGAATTGCTTCAACAGGGCCATAAGAGAAAAACTGACAATGTAAAATTATATTCATCACATTCCAACATCTATACAAAACCCTTATTTTATATTTTGTTTATTTTTTAATCAAAAGGACTTTTCTCTTCAGGCCAACTATAATGTTAAAAAATTCTAGGATAATTCTTAACCAATCAAAAAGGTTTTAAAAACATAAATACAAACATGATTTTTTTTTGTATTGTGCACAGTATACTACGTGAAAAAAGGAAGCTTGTGAAGAAATTATGAAAGTGCAATTTAGACTTTAATAGTTTAAGCTGATTGTACCTGTTCATGTATTTTTTATTATCTTCTTTTTGAGCAAGGCAGAATTTTCCTCGAAGAGATTTTTTAGATAAATAATACCTGTGTAATTATTAAGGAAACTTCAAAAATTATGATAAAAATACTTATACTTTACAGGTTTTGTTATTTGGATTAGTACAAGTAAAGCCATATACCTGCAAAAAATGTGTTACATAAAAGGTAGTTTTTCTTATCTTTCTATTAGAAGTGACTAAGAAAAAATATCCTCAGTGTTGAACATGTTGACAGTGGGTTCAGAATTCTTATCTTGATACTGGGTGGCTATCATTTGAATTCAATTGTTCCTGCTGGCTTGAACCACCAATGATACTTTCATGACTAGCCCATCTGGCATCTTGTACTGCTTCTCAGGGAATCTCTGATTACAATAATGTAAAGAAAAGTGTTGATTTAGCAGGCCATATGTAACTGCATTTCAGTTCAAGGAAAACATTAAAATGGTATAAAAATTATAATACAGGTAATGTTTGGTAAAGCAGTTGTAAACACATATTAATAAGCAATTGGTGTTCATAAAATTTCCATGTTAAAACTTAGATGACCAATAAACCATTCATGAATGTAAATAAATTTCTTTTAATGAAATAAACTTGATTATTGTAATAATTTTTAATTGCTATGAACAGTGTTAATATTTATATTTGGGCAGTAATTATTCAAATTCAAGCAACTAACTAGATTGGGTCCATTTATAGACTTTTTATTAATTTTATTAGTAAAAAGACCAATAAAAGTGATTGGATCTAGTTGTACCATCAATGAGACAGTCATACACATACCACTGATGGTTCAAGCCAGAAGGAATGTGTGATATATCCCTTTTCTTAAAATATTCAAGGAATATAAAAGATGAATTTGATCAATTGTCTAAGCTAATTTGGCATATTTGTTTCCATATTTCTAAAGGTAACAGAAGAGTTCTTTAATATCCTCTACCCTATTAAAAATAAAAAAATACTTAAATCAAATCTACCAAAGAGCCCCCTCTCAAGTCCTTGAAACCAGGCCACTGCAATACCAGAGTCTTCATTTAAAAAGTATTTAGTGACTTATACCATGTATGTGTGTATTGTGTATGTACATCAGCTTTTAGGCCAGGTACTATGTGAGGACAAAAATATAAATACATTATACACACCATGCTTGTCTTTTAAATAACCTCTCTTTTTATTTGTTTCCATATCTGGCAAGAAACAAGTGACCATTGTAAGTGTTCATTAATCTAATTTAGAACTGTGTTGTCCATACAGTAACCACTAATCACACTGACTTCTTAGCACTTGAAAACACAGAATGATGAGGAGTAATATAAAAATAAAATGTACGCTGGATTTCAAAGACTTACTACAAACAAATCAAACAAACACAAGATTTAACACAAATAATGAAAATTAACATACCATTAATAATACTTCCATATGAATTCAAAGTATATTTTGGAATTTTGTTGTTTTGTTTTGTTTTGAGATATTGTCTTGTTCTGTAATTCAGGTTGGCCTTGAACTCACTATGTGGCCCAGGTTGGCCTTAAACTTGTGGTGATTCTTCTGCTTCAGGCTCCCAAGTGCTGGGATTACAGGTGTGCACCATCATGCCTGGGTAAAGTACTTTATATTAAGAACATATAAATAAGATGTATTAATAAGATGAATTCATCTGTTCTGCTTTTAAATGAGACCATTAGGAAATTTTAAATTACATGTACTTCTCAGTAGTAATCTAGGTTATAAGCCCAAAGTTTAGGGAGAGTTACAGAATAGGAAAGCCTAAACGGGTATGGTAACTAAAGGTAGAGACAAACTAAGATCACCACAGCAATAAACGGAAATAGATTCCTTCTTTTAAGTAGGTTAGAAATCCAAGAAATGTAGGAAGAGTTAAACCAGTATTAAAATTATTAACCTGTATAATTTATAAAATCAGAAATTGTTTTGTTCAATCCTCTCCTTTTTACATGTAAGAAAACAGATGAAAGAAATGAGGAAGAAGACAGAGGATGGACCGTGTTAATAAGGACCCAAAACTTGTGGGGAAAAAAATACTCCTCCTATAGAATTTGCTTTGTGCTTTAAACTTAAGGCTCCTTCTACATAACGTACCCATAAATTACAGGGTAAAAAGTCAGAAGAACTTTTACATATTCTAATTCTATGTCCCTAGACAAATAAACATCTCTGAGTTTCAGCTTATATGACTTTGAAAATTCAAGGTTGGATTTAAGCCTCCAATGGACTTAAGTACTCTGTAATTTCCACTCATAGTCACATAGTATAGTGACAGGAACTCAGAAACATGAGTCAGATCTAGACTCAGCAGTAAAACAACCTAAGTAATAAAATGCTGCTTTTTGTATGGATAAGTAACATATTACACTGCAGCCAGCTGTAGCCAAATAATATCCATTTAATGATTACATTAGCCTTTTCTATAGATCATATGCATCATAGGGAATTTGTACATGTACATCTTGTTTTTTCTTTTTTCCCCCATTCCTTTCCCCTCCCTTCTTTCCATATTTATAGAAACTGTTTCCATTTTTTTCTTCCATACTTTTAAAAATCTCCTTTCCCTTCCTTCCCTCTCTCCTCCCTTGTTTCCCTTTTCATTTGAACGTGTTCTTCCTACTTCCCAGCATCTGTTGTCCATTTGCTCCTTATTTACCCTTAAGATTTTTCACCTAAGAGAAATAACATATTTAAACCTGTGTCTTATTAATTTCACTTAAAACTATTAATTCTGAAATTTTTCTTCTTTCTAAACATTAAAGGATACTCTTCTTCCAATAACATTTTCTCAATGACAGCTCTGTTCTCTTCACTGATGGTGCTATCTAGAGTCCAAGGCTATTAAAAAAAAAAAGAAAACATATATAATTACTTTTTGTTAAATAAAAAAATATATAATGATTACAAACAAGCACAGCTACTATTTACTGAGCACACAGACATAACTTTGATTCTCATGATAAAACCATGAGATAGATGCTAATACTTCACAAACATCTACAGCACTACTTTCCAGTGGAAAGAGAAGAGAGTTTACATCCAATTCTATTAGATTCCAAGGTTCATGCTCCCACTTTTGGCAGGTAATAACAGATATTATATATAAAGAATTATTAGACATCATGCATTTGCTAGACAAACTATTTCCAAAATTCCCTAGCAGGTTTTTCTCTGTCATAATTTCCTGCGGATCACACTCATTTTCAACTCTCAAAGTGAAAAATTTCTGGCTCATGTCTCTTCTCTAGGCTTCAGACTGTTTGTTATATCCAACTGCTCACTCAAGATTTGCACCTGGATACCTAACTGGCTTCTCAGACTTAATCTATCACATATCTCCACTTGCTTCTCCCCTACCTTTCCAACTGTGTAAAAGGCAGTCCAGACACTCAAGTTACTCCATCTAAAAACTAAGGAATCACTGCAGATTCGTTTTCCCTCAATCTCCATACCCAATCCACCAACCACTTCTACCTCCAAAATATAAATCATGTCTATCCACTTCTGATTCTTCTGTGACTACGCGCAGGGCCCAGCCACCACCATTAAATCTTTGATGAATGCAAATGTTTCCTACTAGTTCCTGTAGCAACCCTTTTACTTCCTTCTAATCTAATCTTCACCACAGCACTCAAAGCAAATTTTATAAAACAACTGACATTTGCATAAAATCTATATGAAATGTTTTTGATCTCACCTCATTCACAATTAAATTCTTTTAGCATAATCCAACCCTACAAATACTGAATGACAATGGCTCTCTCCTCCCTTTCTAGCCTTGTCACATACTGTGACTCCTGTTGTTAATATGGCCTAGGTACAGATCTCTTTCAACTACAGATGCATTAGCTGGAATTCTTTCCTCCAGTCTTCATCCACCTATTCTCATTTCTTTTCAATTTAAATGTCACCTCAGAGCTTCCTTCACTGACAACTTGATCTCAAGTAGGATCCCTACCCAGGCACTCCCAATGAGCACTAATTTGCTTATCTCCTTCATAATCTATAATTGTTTATCAGGCAACTCCCCTTTGGAATATAAGGTCCTTGAGAGCAAGGCTATATCTGTCATGATTATAACTAACCTGGCCTAAGGTCTAACACACAATGTTCAATAAATAACTGCTAAATTAAGAAACAAATCCTGTGATAATCCCCATTTTTTACTTGAAGAAACCAAGTTTCACAAAAGTGACAGGGCAAGAATTTATACCTAAATATAGATGGCTGCAAAGTTGCTTTTCAACAAGCTATTTTTCAAAGTCAAAGAAGAAAGTTTCTTCTATTTTTAAACTATGAAAAATATTACTACATATGACCTCTGACTTTTGAGAAGTAGCGCTCAGTTAAAGAAGAGAGAGGCACAATGGGCAACGAGTAACAGTTTAAGTCAGTGAACATTTCATAAAATACTTACAATAAGGCCATTCGCATTTCTCCACGATGAATCAAGATAGTGTTCTTGTTGTAAAACTGATGCTGTATTTTCATCACTTCTGTAATAATTAAGGAAATGTGTATAAAAGTGGTATTATACGAGTCTGTGGCTATAACTCATACAGGACAGAGGCTGGCAGGTTGAGGTGCTATGTAAATAGTCCCTTTTCTCCCTTAACAAACAGATTTAACACTGCAGCAATGCCTCCTCTATTTCTGACCTGTGAGAAAAAAAAAAAAAACAAAACTCATGCACAGCAACTACAATATGTTCTGTGGCCATGAGCCAACACTTTAGTTTTGGTTGATAAGTATCCATATGAATATAAAAACTCATCTCTGCAATTACATCTTTTAGCTATAGCTAAACCATAAAAAAATCACTATCTGCTATCACCATTCTTAAAACAAAGAAAAAAACAAAACTTACATGGAAGAACAAAAGTAGAAAAACAACAGAAATTTTGTTAACTCATACAACTTGAAAAAAATAATGGGTTATCTGGAGGATTTATATGTACACAGAGGATCAAGAAAGGTGGCAGTAACTTATCTGTAAAGTATAATCACTGTGACCAGGAAGAGTGAATAAATTTGAAAGGGTATTTATACAGAATGAACAGCCCCTAATAATATGATATGGGGAGCAGAAGAAGGTAAAGGAAAGGAACAAAGTTTAACTTTATGCTTTGGGCGACTGATTTTTTTTTTTTTTTTTTAAGGAAGAGATTTAATTTGGCTCACAGACTTGTAGGGTTAGTGCTATTTGTTCGACTGTGAACAGTGGAGAATCAGGTTTCACGGGGAAAGTTTTATGAGACTGAGGTGTTTGTGGGTCATCCAAATGCTGATAGATTCAGAGTTGGGTCAATGAATTAGAAGTTTGGAATAAAGATTTGAGCTGGTGACAGATTTGGAGATATCGGCATGTGTTAGGCTGAACTTAGGAAACTGCCATTTTTGTAGGTCAAATACGTTAGAACACTGACAAAAACTTCATATGGATCAACCTAACAGAAATTAAGTCTTGAGAGATGGTATCACTAGCAGTGTGCTTTAAATTAACAGCCGAGGGCTCCCGATATACTCTCATCAGCTGTTCAGTACATACAGGTGCTATGTCACAAAACTGGAGTTCCAATACTTGGGGCACCATTCACTAAAACAAGGTACTACTCAAAACTAATAATCAGGTTAAAGGTCTTCCTTGTGTGAGACTAAGATTATACATACTATCTCTAAAGCTCAAGAAAATAGGAAGAGGAAAAGGAGAAAAATTAAATTCAACCAGAAAAATTAAACTATGTGACAGGTATAGAGCTAATGTCCTCAAATAATTGTGTTTCCAAGGCTAATTCACTGCTTTCTGTACTGTGGGTAAATTTCCTGCCCACTTAAATCAAGTACGCAAAAATCACTCGACCAAGACTGAAACATAAAACATGAACAATTACATTAAAGGCTGTTACAGTTAACTGCACAGTTTTGGACTGCTTTGTTTAAAAGCTTGAGGGTAAACGACTACATGAGTTTATCCTTCACATTTTTTATAATGTTTAATTTAGGGTTCACACTTTTCAATTCCATTACTTAATGCCTCATGGGCAGGGTTGAGGCTCTTTTCAATTAAGAGGTCCTGATAACATATTGGACTACATCAAACTGTCACTTTATAGGTTAAAAAAGGTCTAATATTGGTAACTTCGTATAGTTCAGCCTAGTAAGAATTTTTAGCAAAGTTGATAGTTGTAAGTAGCAAAGCTGACTGCATTTAGACTTCGTGATTCTTCCCAGTTTAGGCCTCTTCCATTACTAAAAGTCAAATTTCTTACTTGGAAAACAAGGAATCAAAGGAGATTCTGACTCCAAACCATACTAGCCTGTTCTGCAGGAATAAAGATTAAATACATTCTGATCCCTCGTACCATCCTTGAGAATGAAGCACACATGTATGAAATGGTAAAGCGCATTCTATTATTCTTTCATTTGATGTTCGCCTCAAACCTATGAGTTCATGATTCTCAGTATCTAACAAATAGTGTCTTGCAGGTCACACTGCTGCTAGAAACGGTAGGACCAGCAATTGCAGAAGAAAATTCAGAATGGTCCAACTCTGAAACCTGGCCACTTTCCTCTAAGTAAATCTGCCTCTCCGGAAGATTTTCACAACTATCGCTGTGGGGGAGAGAAGTTGACGCGACCCGTCCCAGGTCGCGCGGCTTGAGAGGAGGGAGAGTCTCTAAGGTACATTGCAGGACGTACCCTTGCTCCAGTTAGTTCAAGTTGGTGCTGGGGATTCTGAAGGGAATGGAGGAAAGCACCGAACTGCAGGAGCAAGGGCAAGGAGCAGGGAGAAAGCGGATTTCCACAGCGCGCAGTGAGAGGATAGGAAGCATCTGCGGTAAGGCCGGCCGGCAGGCTCCGGAAAGCGCGAGCCAACAGCACGGCGACTTCCGGGGTGGCGTAGACCGGGCCCTGCGGACCGCCTGCTGCTACCGGATTCCCTTCCCGAGCCCGCCGCTTTTCCCAAGCTTTCTCCTCGCATCCGAGACCCTCCCCGCCTGGCGACATCCAGTCTCTATGCCTCACCCTGGCTGTGCCGCCGACGCCACCACGTCCCCTTCAACATCCACCTCCGTCTCTTCGGCCGCCATGATACCGTCGGACTCCGTCAGTCCCCCAGGAGATCTCGTGAGAGGTTGCGGTCGGGGGCGGAGCCTATGTGTCACTGGGTGAGGTTTCCGGAGGAAGCGGTGCAGGGAGCCGCAGGGGGCACTGGTCCGGCTTTTCAAAGCTGTTTCTGGCGCCTCGTTTCGCTCCTGTGTAAAATGGGAATAGCAGCAAATATCTTTCTAGACTGATGAAAAAAGCCAAAACTATTTTGTGAACCGTCTAAGTGACAATCAGGAGGATCAGGAGGGCCCTTTGTTAAGTCTTTCTCTAAAGAAAGGGTCATTTATCGCTTACCTGAAGGGAAACTGACTTCTATTTCAACAGTCGACAAAATATAATATTATAAAAAA